CCCCCCGCGTCTCCCCGTGCACAGGGCGGGGCGAGGGGCTGAAAGAATCCGCACAAAGGCAGCAGAGAAACGAAGATCAGCAGAGGAGAGACCGTGTTTACCATAAGATCGGGGACAGGCCAGCGGTCCTGTGGGCGGTGCCCTCGGATGCAGCTGCACAAACGAGGCTGCAGAGTGCACCCGAGCCTCCGGGGAGCCCAGCAGGAAAAGCTCGGAATGGAGAAGCTACACTTCCTTCTCTTTTTAAAAATATATATTACTGACTTGAGAGAGGAAGGGAGAGGGAGAGAGAGAGAGAAACACCCTGATGAGAGAGGATCACGGACCGGCCGCCTCCTGCACGCCCCGCACTGGGGATGGAGCCCACAACCCGGGCCTGTGCCCTGACCGGGAATCGAACCCTGACCTCCTGGGTCCTAGGTCAACCCTCAACCACTGAGCCCCGCCGGCCGGGCCAGTTTCTTTAGGAACTAATTGTTCCTGGTGTGACTGCACATCTTGCACGATCGGGAGTCAGGAGCGTGCAGGTCAGGGTGACAGGAAGTCGCTGCCACCGTGGTGACCGTACCTCCAGGGGCGCAGCGGTGAGGTGGGAGCCAGCAGGTGCTTCAGGGAGGGGATGTGACACGTGTGAACTCTGACCTTTGGTTGAATGTGGCTCCTGTTCTTTTCAGTACAGCATCCTCTTCAAGCAAGAGCAAGGTGAGCCGCGTGCCTGGGAGACGGTCGTCTCTGGTTCCTGTAGGAACTGTTGTCATGTCGACCAGACGCGCCATCCCCAGGAAAGTCAGCAGAGCCGGCCGCACACAGACCCCTGAAAAGCCCACAGCAGGAAGGCAGACAGCAGGCCGAGGGCTTCCCCGCTGCCGGGTGGCCCCATGAGGGGGTGGCCCCCAGAGGCCGCTGCACACGGGGCCCCAGGGGGACTCCCGTTAACAGGTCGTCGGCTTTGAGTCCAGCTCTGCCCCTTCTTAGCTTTGGAGTTCCAGGCAGCTACTAGTCTCTCTCTTTTTAAAAAAAACATTTTTAAATTTGATTGGAGAGAGAGTGAGAGAGGAGACAAAGAGAGAGGAAGGGAGGATAGAGAAGCCTCCACTGGCTGCCTCCTGCACGTCCCTACGCAGGACGAGTCCTCAGTCCAGGAATCCACCCAGTGACCTGGCTCATGGGCCGACACGCACCCCGAGCCCCCGGCCGGCACTGCAGGCTCCTCTGGGCCTCTGACTCTTTGTCTGTAACGTGGGAGGCCGCTCACAGCGCCTGCTCCATAGGGTTGTGGTGGCGACGGATGGAGGTGACACCTCCGGGGGGATTAATGCGTCGCCGGCCCTGA